AGTGCCTCTCCTATATCCCCTATCATACACAGTAGCACTGTGTAAGAAAGTTGTAAATAAATCAATTTCTCATCAGAGTCTTTGTTTCTTATTTAAATAATCTGTCACTTCTACTTGTGCAATGCACCAATAGATATATTATTACAGCAGTTAATGCTGTATTTAAATAAAAACTGCTTCAATTTTTTTTACCCAAGAATTTAACAGAGTATTATATAAGTTCATGCATAATATTAAAAAATTACAATACTAAAGTATTTTTAGTCTTAACTTAAGAGCAAAATAGAGTACACTGTCTCACATAAACCAACAAATTCACTGCTTACTCCAGCATCTGATCCAAAGTGCCAGCCAGTGAAAGCCTGGCTAAGGAACTGCATGATCCAAGCCCAGTGAAAACAGATTCTCAGAGGGAAAGATACATATTTCAACAGTTTACTCAAGCTTCATTTAGGAACATCTATGTGAGGCTGCAACAACAATTAAAGCAAAATTAGGTTTAGGGAGGCATTATGCATTCATGATGACCTACACTGCCTTGTGAGATGAGACAGTGTTTATTAAAACAGCAGTGTTTATTAAAAAGGAACACTGAGAGTTCCTATGGAATGAATAGTGGTAATCACCAAAAAAGTAAAGAAAAGACTAGTCAGAAAACAGGCTTCTAAATGGCCATTGTTTGTTTAGATGCTAAAAGCAAGCTTTGGTGATATACACTCACAAACTCATCATGCTTAAGTTAAATGATTCACCGTTTGATCAAATGTTTAATTTTAGCAAACAAAATTGAGGGACGAGCCAGATTGGCATGGCAAGGATCTGATGATACATAAGTGACTGGAAAATCCAGACTCAGAAATAATCTCTGAATTGGGCCTGCACAGAATGCTTGGGGTATATTGTCTCATCACACATATGATGCATGCAGTGTCAGAAAAAGGCGGACCAAATGGCAACATCCTGCAAAAGCCCTGCTGGCATGTTCTCAAATAATATTGCTATCAGTTTTAGCTGACTACAGTACATTATAGTTGCCAGAACTAAGATGAGATGAAACTAATCATACTGTGTTTTCAATCAACTTCCTGCTGGCTGCCACCATTTCAAGAATGTAATTCATTTTTTTTATGTCTATTAACATATTTCCTTCTTTTCTGGTTCTAAGGCACTAAATGCAATAGTATGGTATCAATCTGGACAATAAAAAAGAAAAGTAGTAGTCACTACAGTACAAATAGAACTGTAAAAGTATTACCCTCTCTGACATACACTTTTCACAGTATATGCTACCAGCAGCTTACAAGTCCCTTCTATGCACATAACCATTTAACAGTAGTATCCCCAGCCCTCTGACAGTTTCACTCACAAGTGAAACCATCATAGAGATCTTTAGAAGTCAAAGGTGAATTACCAACATGTAAGTCATTAAAGAATCAGCCTCATCTCTAATAAGGAAAAAGGCTTAACTGGAATATAATACAAGTAATATTTCCATGTATTTATAAAATCTTCAACCTTGAGTTCATATACACCATAAGGGAAAGGCTTCTGAAGTCCGGTAATCTAAGAAAAAATAAACATTACATGATTCTATGATTATCTGGTCTGTTAACCAGGAAAACATAAGGAAGCATTTTTCCAGGTCATAAGAATCAGAAGTTAAATACAGCATATTTTAGATTGAGAAATCTAAAATAACTTGCATACTGAAACCCTTTCCAATCTTTGTACACTAAGACTATTCCAATAAAAAAGTGAGATAGTTGCTAATGACTGAAGTTGAAGATATAAAAATAGGGAGAAGGTGTTTGGAAATAATTTGCTCCCCTAAGTTGTACAAATTTTTCATAAATAACATGAATACTTACAAGGTTTCACGATTGATATTATCTGGGTAAGTGAAATGATTATGTAAAATATAAAGATCATCTCAGTGCTCCATTTAAACTTTACTCAAGCAGAAATGACAGACTGAAGATTCTAAAAAGAAGGTTGAGTCTGCAGATTTAAAGACAGATTCCATGATCTTCAACAAAAGGCAAGAAAACGTTAGTTATTGACCTTAAGCAGATGTATCAGAAGTTCTTAACAGCCTAATTCAAAAGTATCTTCTTTCAGCTGTTCATTTTTCAGTCTCTTAGATCTTGAAACATCAAGAGTTTAGTAGTTTTCCAGTCTCTAGAGATTGCTGAAACCTAGAGGATCTGAATTTCTAATATAAGCCCAAGTCTTCTAAAAGAAGAACCCCTCCAACTTCCATGCAATAATACATACTAGTCTGCTCCTGCAATCTCTTTGCATGCCATCACTATCAACATGTGACTCTGGAGCTACTTCTATCCCTGTTCAACCAATGGGCAAGCTTTAGCACAGCAACCCACAGCTTACTTCATTTGTAATACTTCTTTCAGTCTTTTCCTTAATGTTTCCTGTCATTGTGGCTTATTGTAGAAAGCATGTATCTTACTACAAACAGTCCTGTAAGCACTACATAAAATAAATTCTAAAAAACCAAGGCATCATCTTTTATACTTGGTAAAATCTAGACCTTATTGTTTGACCCCCATACACAAAATTGCTCTGCTGCTTACCTGGCTTGGGCTCACTCAAGAAGAACTGTGAAAGGGTTCTCAACCATTGCACTGACAGGACCCAAAAACATAAAGCAATACTGTTCCTCTACAGTAGTTTATTTACAAATTCAATGGAAACTACTACATCAAGTTACAAGTTTCATAACTTTTCATAGCTTTAAATGTCCTGGCCCTGTTTTTCCAAAATGTGACTTGACAGACATTAAGATGAAAGTCACAGGTAAGACGCTGTCTTAAAATATGTCTTAAAACATGTCATAACCCTAGCTAGAGCAATGGTTGCTCTAGGAACCTTAGGTGAACTCTAGAGCATCAGAATTTCAACTTCACACAAATATAAGTCTTTCTGCTATCCCAACTTACTTTCTTCAGAAAGCTGGCATAAAACTGTAACCTATTAAGAACTCCTGACAATGCAACTTCAATAGAAAGGCGTATCTGCACTGATTTACCAGACAATCCGTTCAAGCACTAGCAAGGCCTAGGTAAATAAGGTCATGTAGTCACTTAAGCTTTTTCAGGACTGAAAAGTACAGCAATCAACTCTGGAAACTGACAGCACCGTTTTTTAAAGCGGAAAAATAGATACTTAGTTTGCCACTGTGTATTGAAATGCACCTGGCAGACACTTAAAGAGACTAAAAAAGAGACTAATTCATTCACTGTAATAATGGGAAAAGTGAAGGGTTTGTTCCACACTGCTGTCTTTCAAAATTATCATACAAAAACACCCCTGCATGGATGGCATTCTGAAGTTAAAAAAAATGGGAGAGGGCAAAAAAAATACCACTTGATATCTGCTTGTGCAAGAGAAGCATGTTTAAAGAAAATCAGCTTTAAAGGCAACAGGTTTTCTTGAAGGCCTCCTGTAACCATTAAGCAGATCCTTGAACACAAGGCACCATATTTTCTTCTCTTATCAAAACATGCTGAACTAGCCAAGAAGTCGAGCCCAGAGAAAAAGCTCACTTTCAACTTTCTACGATTCTCCCATAAGTATCAGGTTACACACATCAGTGCCCTGCATTAGAGATAGCAAAAACTTGTTCTCCACTGCTTTACAGAAAATATCAGACCCAAATATGGGAGCTTAACAAAACAAAACAAAATAATTTACTATGTATTTATAATCTGTCTTGAAAGATCACTCCCAACAGGGCCATGGCATTTGTTGCAATTCAGGCTTCTGTCATAACTAAAAAATGGGATTTTGTTTAAAATCCTGCCACTTCAATGAACCAACCAAATGTACAGTCACATCACTAAATCACTCTTATTGCATCTTTTTTCTCTCAGTCTCCACTTCCCCAGAGTACCTTAAATTGCATGACATAAATCCCAAGAAGGTACAATCACAGACAAGTGTAAATCTCAGATGGGTCTCAAAAGTCTATTTAGTCACATACTCTATGCATTTTCCATAAATAAGAACATTAGGGACTAATGTTGCTGTGATAGACACTAAACACATTTTATGACTATGTGTATCTGCTAGAATACCATCTCCCACGGTACAACTGATTTTAAAAGAAAAAATCAGTAACAGAAACATCTTCAACACACACGACCCTAGAGGTGGTAGTTTAGGAAAGAACAGATTTACCCTTTTTCCTTTTTCACCTTTGGCAAACAGGAATGACCCCTACTTCCTTCTTCCTAAAAGGGTATCAGCAAGCAGCTAACAAGGGCCTTACCTATTATGAACCACTTCACTTTCATAAGGTGGAGAAAGAAATATGTTTTTGTCCCTAGCTGTTTTCTCTCATTAGTTATTTTGCCCTGCCTGAATTGCAGCGACAGCTTCCCGGGCACAGGGCAGGGATGTGTCAGGGACACCCGTCAGGGCACCCAGGGGCCCGCATTACTCATCTGCGCCTTTGAGGAGCTAAAGGCAGGCCCCGGAGCGCAGCCCGCAGCCCCAGAGGAGGGGCGGCCTCTCCAGGAAACCTGCGTGCCTGGGGAAGCGGTCAGGCCTCCCCCGCAGGGCTGCCGGGAAGGCCGCGGTGTCCGGACGGCGGGGGGGTCGCGGGCGGCTTCAGCACCCCCTCCCCCTCCGCGCCCGGGGCAGCGCAGCCGCCTCCCCACGGGGCACCCGCCGCCTCTACGCCAGCGGCCGCAGCCGACACCGCGGTCCAGGCCCCCCGGGACCCGGCACCCACAGGCAAGGAGACATCCCTCTTCCGAAGGGGGGGAACCCCCGCGGCCCGCCCGGCAGGGGCCCGAGGCTGCCCCCTCCCCGCGGCGATCTGCGGGCTCGGCCCCCGCGACCGCCAGCGTCGGGGGTTACGACCTGGCCCTTTCCCCCCCCCCACGCCCGGCCGCGGCCCCCCGCCGCCTCGCCCTTCTCCTGGCCGCCCGCCCCCCTCCGTCCCTCCCCTCCCCAGCCCAGCCCCGGGCCCGGCTCACCCCCAGAAGCCGCAGGGGCAGCGCGGGGGCAGGCTGGGCGCCTTGCTGCGCTCGCTGCCGGCGTCTCCCATGGTGGGGCCGGGGCGCGGAGCGGCGGCGGGCGGGGGGCGCGCGGCTCCCGGCTGGGATTCCAGGCCGGTCAGCTGGAGTCGGGCGGCACCACTGGGGAGGCGGCGGAGGGGAGGGCGCGGGGGGGCCCGGCCGCACCCTGCCGATGGGACGGGCAGGGGAGCGGAGACGCGGCGGCACGGGGACGCGGAGCTCCGTGCGGCGATGCCGCACGCCCACCGATGCCGGTGACCGCCCCGGTGGCACAGCGGCGCGCGCCTGCCCTCCCCAGAGCGCCGCTCAGCCCCTCGCGCAACAATGCGTGCCCCCCTCCGGCACCGTGGTTCCCCCCGTCCTGAGCGCGATGGTTTCGTCAAGCCACCGAATCAGCTGGGAGCGGCATGTACCACAGCACATCCTCGGGGGATGTCGGGGATGTGAAGTTGGGGCGGATCGCGTGCGGGAACTGGGTGAGAAGCGAGTTTGGAGTGCGCCCATATGGTCGAGAAGAGAACAGAATTCTCAATGACGAGTCCCAGGCGGGGCTGAGGCCCTCAGAGCTGCCTGGGGCCGCTGCCCTCTTTTGCCTCTACCCATACATTGGGCACACAGTGGTACAGCCAGGGACGGCCGGTGGCGTGTGGGGGGGCTGTGCCGGTGCCGCTCGTACATGCGCAGACGGGCCCCCGACGCGGAAGTCTGTTGGAGGGAGCGGGTCCCTTGGGGTCGGAGCGGGCCGGGCCGGGCCGGGCCGGGCCATCCTGTCCCGGGCTGCCGCTCCGACTGTGCCGGGACCTGCTTCGCACAGGGAGGCTGTTGAATAGCTTTCACTTGTCCTGGTCCCTGCCAGCGCGGTGTGCCGGGGCCGCACAGCTGTGCGCTGTGCGCGCTCGGGAGCTCTCCCCGGAGGCTGGACGGCTCTGGGGGCTCCGGTGCGGTGCAGGGTGAGGACAGGGACTTGTTCCCTTTGGGCTCCGCTTGGAGGGAGGTGTAGCGAGGACGACGTTTGGCCTTCTGTTTGCTTTCTTACCCTATAGATGTTCGTCCTCGGTTCCCTCAGTCCGAAATAAAGCCGTGTACGTGTTTGACGTACTCGGGGCTCTCCTCGCCTGTGGTAAACACCCCTAGGTGTGTGAGCACACGGAGCTGTGGGCTGGCTGCAGCCGGGAGAAGGCAGGCTGCGCTGGCCCCGTTCTCTGGGACCTGCAAGGGGTAAGGTATAGCAGGGAGGGAAGAGCACAGCTGGCACGGTCATTTCTGGCTGCCGCCCTTTGACGGACAGGAAAGGAGAGGGGAATTTCCAGCACCTGAACTTGAGGGGCTGAGTAATAGGAATTGTAGGATTGTACTTCTGGTCCTTGTTTAGCCAGTAGCATTGAGTTAGTTACAGCCTTGCACCCTCTGTACCTTGGTTTTGTCTGTGAAATGGAGACAGTGCTGACCACCACCCCCCCCCCCCCCCCGCCATAAATTTCAGATCTGAGTGGGAAATGTGTGAAAAAATACTGGTGGGGCATTAATGAAGAATTTTGATCTACTCCTGAACTGCTGTTGCCTGTCTTGTACTTTGATATTTTTTTTTCTACTTAAAATCAAGCTTATTAAACTTTGAAAATAATAAACATTCTTAATAAAGTTCAGAGTATGTGAATATTTGTGAACAACTAATGAATTCTGATAAAGATATTATGGCTTTGGTATTAGGCTTCCTAAAGCCTCTTCTATCAAATTAATTCATGACCGAAAAAAAAAAAAACAATAACGAAGTGCATATACACACATGCTTAAAACTTTTTAATAGAAAGTTGGCATTTAAGTGGAATCATGTAAACAAGACTTCTTGTGAAAAGTCTGGTTCGTGACAGTTTACTAATGGTGATTTTTTCAAACCATTCTGCTCTGGCATTGCCTGACTGCCAACTGATGAAACTCTCTGCCCTCTCTGAAGTGTCTGGCTGCAGACCACCCTGTGTACTGAACAGCACCAGGGCTGTCCTTGGGCAAAGCTCTCTGAGGACAAAGCTGACCTGCTGAGGCAACCAAGAAAAGCAAGTACGTGCAAAAAAAAAAAAAAAATAGCCTTGGCCTTGTTAACTCAGCCCTTTAAGTCACTAAATCAGCTGGAAACTGAAGTGGTCTCTTTTGAGCTGGTTATCTGCACTACTACCAGAGGCTGTAAACTCCCCTCAGATAAGGAGTGGCTTCTTAAAGATGATCTAATAGGTTTTATGTCAATAATTGCTATTAAGGTAAACTCATACCGAGTTTCAACTATTACAGATTTTGTGCAGAAGCAGTCTCTCTGCTCAGTACTTCTGCATCACTTCAAATAAATTTTGGCTTTCATCACCTGAAGGGAGCCTAGAAAAAAAGATGGAGTCTATTTACATGGGCATGTAGGGACAAGGACAAGGGGCAATGGGTTTAAACTGACAGGGAGTAGATTTAGATTAGATAGTAGGAAAAAAATATTTAACTGTGAGAGTGGTGTGGTACTAGAACAAGTTGCCTGGAAAAACTGTGGATGCTCCATTCCTGAGAGTGTTCGAGGCCAGCTTGGATGGGGCTCTGAGCAGCTTGGTCTAGTGGAATATGCCCCTGCCTGTGGCAGGAGGGTTGGAATTAGATGATCTCTCTTTAGTCCATTCCAACCCAGGCCATTCTATAATTTTGTAAAGTGATGTTGGGATTATGTCAAAATTGCAGTTTTCCAAGTAGTTCAGATTTTTAAAAACCCTGTAAAGGTGTGGTACTTCACTCCAAAGTTAAACACAAGAAAAGCATGAATTGAGGGACTACACAAAACAAACACTTATTAAACATGCTGACAGTGAAGATACACAAACAACTAACTCTGGCTGCCACTAATACCCTGAGGAAGAATAATCTCAGGGACACACACATGATAGGCTTTGGGATTATAGTGCAGTTGAATACTATGGGATCCAGAAGAGGGGGAGCATTTGCTTTGATTTCATGCCATGTTTGTAATAATGTATTTGGTCTTTTTTATTTTTAAATATGACCCTTGCAACACTGGTTTTATATATTTGTGATATTTCCTACTTTGTCTAGAGAACAGAAAATTACTAATGTATCATTTCAGCATTGTTTCCTGAAAATTCAGTATGTACCTGCTTTTCTAAACCCTTTAATGTTTTGATTTGTGTCATGTGTCTGCTAATCACATCCAGCCATTTGCAACCACCAGAAAGTGCTTTTGTATTGAAATGTGGCAGCAAGGGGAAGTACCTCTGAGTGAGTGTATGCTTCTTTAGAGGCTGGCAAGGAGAAAACTGGTTCAGATGATCTAAAATTAATGCTGTCATGAACAGGGCATTGCAACCTCCATTCAGATCCAACCTCCAACAGATCTCCTCTTGAGCCAGGCCTCTGGCCCCCGAAGAGTTTTAGTAGTGACGTTTTCTCTGGCTTTTTTGATCCAGAGTCCAGGCCCTGGATGCTTTCTCAATAATGTACAAACATCCACAGACAAATGGATGAACAGCACTTAAGAAATACATAGAGGGATAGGTAGCCTATTACTTGGTTCCAGGGCTGGGAATATTCATATGCAGGAAGTTATCAAAAGGTCCAGATACAGCACAGCATGCTTCAGCCTTTGGAAGAAAATATGCATTGTAAACATGCATTAGGTGGTGGGGGGAGAAACCTCCTGAGTGATGGGAAGGTAATTTGGAGAAGAGTGATGCCTGGAATAGTAAGCAACAGTTTAAATACATAACAAGAGAAACAGCTCGTGCAATCTTAGTTCTGTGTATCTGAATGTATGAAAGAGATAGGGAAGGTGGTAATCCATTTTAATAAGTGACCCTGCAGCTATTCTCCAGGCATATTTTTGCAGACAATTCAGAGAATACAGAGAAAAGCAGCCAAAATACAGGCTGCAGATACTGAAATACTTGAAAAATCTAATGTTTACTCTTTGGCCATTTGGAGAGAGTTTATAATTGTACATTCTTACTTAAAATTGTCACCAAAAATAGAAGGTATTTTCTAGCAGGATCCACATAATTTAGTAAAAAATAGAAACAGATGTCTCTAAGGAGATAAATGCTTAGGACATATGCAGAACATGTTCTCACAGTAAAGTCTGATTTTAACCTCTTGCTGAGGTTCATTTCTAGCTTATTCTCAGCAGGACCCCATTGCAGGATTAGATGAGGGAATAGACCTCACAGAATCAGGAGGGACAACTCCACCAAATTTAGAACCATCAATTAAATACCATTGTTTCTCAAGAGCTCCCTTTTTTGTTCTCACTATGCTAGAAAAGGCTGTACCGGTATATAATCAGAACATTTGGGGGTGGTTTATTTTACTATAAGCATGATTGCCTGACTGAAATACATGTGCACAACCATAAAGTGGAGCAGGTGGAGAATGTCACAAGTATTGTACATCTTCCTTCTCATCTTGAGATCTAAATTACTGTGAAATGATAAAAGTGACTCGTGATGCCAGTCTGTTTGAGAGACTCTTGAACTGATTGAAATAATCACCACTTTTTAATTCCTCTTGAATAGGTTGATATTCTTAGTGAACTTTTTTCTTTGGAAGATCATTCTTGTTAAAACTTACTGGGGCTGCGGAAATACAATGAGCATGTGGGAAAGGGCAGTTGAGAGGATATGTCTGAGCTCTAGCCATAGCAAACAATAAAAGTGAACAATTATGATGATTCACTAGAGCCCAGGGCACAAACTGAAGGCATTGAATGACCATGAAGGCATTAACCTGCAGCAAGTCAACAACACAGATCTGACCCCGGAAACGTGACTGATCTGTGCCAAAGGCTGGCTGAATTGGGACCGAGGCTGCCAGGCTTGCAAGTGCCTGCTCTTTGCTACATAGCTCGCTTTATTTTATCAATTTGAAACACATACCTTGGGTTTTGTATGCACCTGGCCTGGCAGGGTGTGATCCAGCTGAATGCCTCAGCATTTGCTTATTCATTTAGTTTAAGTTGGGTGTCAATGCAAGCTGTCTGAAGAGAGAAGTGCCCGCACCTTAGCCTCTGGTTTGGCCTCAATGAATCCAACTCAGTTTTCTTTGCTGCTTGAAGGAAGACTTCAGATTAAAGAAAGCAAGCTGAGCTCATCTTGGCTCTCAACATTGCTTGTGTTGACAAAGAAAAAGAATAAAAATTACCAGCCATGAATTAGCAATTTATGAGTCATCCAGATTAGAAGGTTTTTGTAGCTGTGTCTTTTTAAAACATAAAACATAAGCTTGAAAACAACAGGACAAGTTTAAATAGTTACAACACAGAATTTGGAGTTGGGACTTTGACATTCTTCTGGTTATTTTAAGTCTCTCTGTGCCTCAGTTTCATTTTCTCAAATGGAAACAATAATCTC